TATTTTCCAATCCTTTGTGACATAAAGCCAGATTTTTATCTCACTTACATTGATGTAAATCCAGAGTTACTCCATTGATTTAATGTGAGTTAATTCAGAATAACACCATTGTATCTTGAGATCAGAATCTGACCCATGCTGTCTTGATAGAAATATAGATTCATATATTATAAAGCTAAAAGGGACATTGTGACCATCTAGTCTGACTCCCTGCATAACACAGGCCATAGGACTTCCTTGAATTAATTCCTGTTTGAACTAGAGCATTTATTTTATAAAACAAAACAAAAAAATCCAAGTTTGATTTAAAAATTTCCAGTAATGGAGAATCCATTACAATCTTTGATAAATTGTTCCAATGGTTACTTACCCTCACTGTAAAAAATTGTGCTTTATTTCTAGTCTCAATTTGTGAAGCTTAAACTTTCATCTATTGGATAATGTTATACCTTTGTCTGCTAGATTAAAAATCCCTCTATTATAAAATTTCTGCTCCCCATATAGGAGGATATAGCCTGTGATGAAGCCATCCCTTAACCTTTTCTTTGTTAAACTAAACAGATTGAGCTTCTTGAGTCTTTCACTATAATGGCATGTTTTCCAATCCTTTGAGTATTCTCGTGGGTCTTCACTGAATCCTCTCCAATTTATTAACATCTGTCTTCAATTGTGGACATCCCAACTGAACACAGCCTCATATGCCCTTATGTTAACTTCAACTCCATCAAAAACAAAGTAGTGATTGGCAGTGATTTTAAGTAATTCCACAATTTATTTTTATTAATTTATTTGAACTGGTAATTCCAAGTATCTTGAAGCACCAGCAGTCTCCATGGAGGTGCTTTCCACAGGAGGAAAAAAAAACAAACCAAATTTGATGTTAGTAATAACATTAGGGATAATTTAGGAATTTAGGGATAATGTGACATAATGTTTCCCTTTTAATTATTCCTTTCCCCTGCCTTCCTATCAGACAGGTGCATTATCACATTTCCTTCCCCCCGCACTCCAGATTTTATGGAAGGATAAGGATTAAAAGGGAACATGAGTACCAAAAGTTGCAAATGTTTGAAAATACATTTTTTAATGTAATCATTGTCTTAGGCTATGTCTACACTAGAGAGTTTATAGTGGCGCAGGTGTACTGATTCAGCTGTGCCGCTATAAGATCTCTTGTGTAGCTGCTCTATGCCGACGGGAGAGAGCTCTCTTGTCGACATGATTAATCTACCCTCAATGAGTGGTAGATGAGTAGCTATATTGGTGGGAGAAGCTCTCCCGCAGACATAGCGCTGTGCACACAAGTGCTTATGATGGCATAATTTATGTCAGTCATCATGGGGGTGGAATATTCACACCCCTGAGTGACATAGGTTTAGCCAACATAAGTGGTAGTGTGGACATAGCTTTAGACTCAATAGATAAGGAGAGCTTTCAGGGAACCAAGGGCCTCATCTAAAGCTAATTAAGTCAATGGAACAGCTCATATTGACTTCAGGAGCTTTGGATCAGGCCCTAAAGGGGAGAGGAAAGAAAATTAATTCATACCGTCACTATCTTCCTCTAGCACAGGGATTGGCAACCTTTGGCATGCGACCCACCAGGGTAAGCACCGTAGCGGGCCGGGCCGGTTTCGATCGCGGCTCCCACTGGCTGTGTTTCGCCGCTCCAGGCCAATTGGAGCTGCGGGAAGCAGCGCGGGCCGAGGGATGTGCTGGCCGCCGCTTCACGCCATCCCCATTGGCCTGGAGTGGCGAACCACGGCCAGTGGGAGTGGCAAACCACGGTCAGTGGGAGCCATGATCGGCTGACCCTGCGGACGCAGCAGGTAAACAAACTGGCCCGGCCTGCCAGGGTGCATGCCTGGCCCGCCAGGGTACTTACCCTGGTGGGCTGTGTGCGAAAGGTTGCTGGTCCCTGCTCTAGCACTTGAGGAAGATATCCTACAAAACCTGCAATCCTGAGACCAGAAGATGCAGCTTTTGTCTCCAAATTTGATTGCCTGCATGGATCCAGCAGGCCAGTCCCTTAATTCAGTAGTTATTAAACAATAAAATATCTGAAAATATGGTTTGACTTTTATTGTTAGTTCCATAAGTCCCGGCTGTGTTTGGCGTTCAGCAGATTTAACCAATATATTTTTTCCTAGAGCAAAAATGGAAAATTATGAGGATAAGAAGTTCTTCACTTATCACACACAGCATGCTGTATTTCGGGGTGTGATTGGTGAACTTAGAGGTAAGTCTGAGTGATATATTTTGGCAGCCTGCACAAAATAAGGGACCAGATTCAGGCAGACACTGCTTCCCAGAAATCGCTGCCCAGCTTCAGGTGGGAAGTTTTCTCTGCTATTCTGCCCCCTACAACACGTTTGGAAGGCCACTTCACAGACCCTCAGAGACAGTAGCAGTAGAGATGTGTTCTGGGGTGGGGCTAGTGGTCAATAGGTGTGGGGTCTGTGTGTTTATGTGTAAACATCACATGATCTGAAAATAGTCCTGGCAAAAAGATCTGTTGCTGGCATGAGGCTTCTGCTCTCCAGAATATAGGTGTACATCAATGCTACGTGGGCCCGTCTTGGGGACTGCTTCACATAGTTTTTGAATTTGGCCTTCTAAATTGTGAAATGAGTTTCACTATGGTGTATTAAACAGGACAATAATGTTTGGTTGGTTTGTGGTGGAAGGTAGTAAATTAATTTAGGGCTTGATCCTAAGGTCATTGAAATCAATGATAAAACTCCCATTGACTGTAGTGGTGCAAGATCAGGGCTTTATGCAGGAAAGTTCAGCTGAGAAACAGCATGTGGTTTTCAATGGGAAACCAATCTTAATCTAATTTTCCAGCTGGGTCTGAGACACAAAACGTTTAGGAACTTAATTCTGCTCCAACTGACGCAAATAGCAGAACTCCAATTAACTTCAAAAGGGGTAGGATGTAACCCTAGTTTTAAGATTACATAGTGAGTCTCTTCCAAGTTAGAGGTGATGTCCCAGGTACTGTCCCACTGCTCTGCATGCAGTCTTCCTTTGGTTGTTTTGTGTCACGTTATGTTTTTCTTTCTGGCATTCTGCAACTTTATAATGCATTTATTTTTGTATGACTGGATCCTTTAAACACATCACTCTGACCCCTCATTCACTGGGCAATAGGGTTCAGAGTTTGCAGGACTGAGCTCTTACTTACTTACTGAAACTTGAAATTGGATGATATGTCTTTGGAACAATCTTCCCTTGGTGTACAATACCAAGGATATAAATCATGACTACAACTTGATATTTGCAGATGGCTGTTACCAGGTTTGACATAGCAGACTCATTTGATATGGAGGAAATGCAATACATTGTTCATATGTTTAAGCTGAAAATCCAAAGTACTGAGACACAACTCTATGTAAAATTCCTAGAGCCTTGATTCTCCATTGCAGTATGTAGTTATTTACAACTGTGCAAAGGGAGGGCAAAGTGGATGTATAACTCTATCATCAATGCAAGCGAATAAAGAAGTGTTTTGTTTGCTCCAGTAGATGGCACTATGTTCCTCTTGGGCTAAGTTTACCTATAGGTTCAATGCCAAAAAGGAACTGAGATTTTTCACTCTCTCTCATTACGGCATACCTATTTCATTTTAGAGCTAAATTTATATCCATCCCTATAAACCTGATGTTGCGACACTTTTTAAAATATTGTAAATTGTTTACATTAAAATGCAGAATTGCAGAAATATTACACTACTATTTACCATTTATATGGCACTTTATATTTTCAAATTATTCTCACAGATAAGTAAGTATTATTATTCCTATTTTATGGGTGGGGAAACTGAGGTACAGAATTTAAGGCCACACAGTAATTCAGCTTCACAACCAGCATTAGAATTCAAGAGATTCTTATGCATTCTAACAACAAGGAGTCCGGTGGCACCTTAAAGACCAACAGATTTATTTGGCCATAAGCTTTCGTGGGTAAAAGACCACTTCTGAAGAAGTGGTGGAGTCCGGTGGCACCTTAAATAAATCTGTTAGTCTTTAAGGTGCCACTGGACTCCTTGTTTTTGTGGTTACAGACTAACATGGCTATCCCCGATACTTGTGCACACTAACATTACTGTTAATATTAACATATTAATTACTATATTAACATTCGCTTTACACCCTTAAATGTCACTGAAAAACACATTTAAAAAAACCAGGCAAATTAAAGGCTTAACTAGCTAATTGCTGTTTCCCAAACAATGGAAAAATGTGCCTATTAAAATTGGATCTGCTATTATGGCTAAAGGAGTACTGAGGCACATGTTTTCACTGATGTTTCTATGTGATTGTTTTAAGTTAGATGACTGACGTGAAAAACAGTTGTAGCCAAGTTGAAAAGCCTGCAAACATATAATGAAGGATTAACCGAAAGGGAAGTGGGTGAGGCTACTACATCCTGTGTTTATTATATCTCCTTTGTGCTCATTGCACCAATTCCTGAAGGCCATCTTGTAGTTTCTTTGATAATAATAGGGCCTGATCTTGCAAACCATCACTCAGCAAAGGCAAGGCTGGGCAGTCTCAGTGAAGTCAGGATCCTATGTCTGAAAAGTGTTTTGAAGTTAAAAAATGCTAAGAAAAGGTAAAATGGAATTATTCCATATTTCCGTAACAATACAATGTAAAGCATAGGAATTAGAGATTGAACAGATCTTTTAGATACGCCTTACTGTTTCTCTGCCAGTGCGGGACTCTACTTACAGAACATTTTCCAGTGTTTTGTACAGTCTTATTTTTAAATATGACAAGCATAGGGATTTCCTTTACTCCCCTGGGGAGACAATTCCACAGCCTAAATAGCTTTTGCTGATGGGAAGTTCCTCCCAATTTCCCAAGGTTCAGTTTCATCCCACTACTCCTAGTTACGCATTCCTCTATGACCCAAATTGATTCTGCAATAAAATAAAGTCAGTTGTGCCTTTGGATTTCATTTCTCTCTGCTGTCCACTTGCAAGCTTCCTTCACTTTCCTGGCTGGCTGCTGGCACTCTAGGAGAGACATGCTGTTTTGTTTAAATCCTCCACATTCTTTGCTGTGCCATATCCCCATTGGCCGGATGGGGCCATCCTTCCTGCTGTGGCTGCTGATGTCAGACACACACTCAGACCCGAGCTGAGGCTGCTGCTGCAGAGACGACTCAGTTCTGCTAGCTACAACTCACACACACAGAGCTGTGCTGGGGGAAACCCAAGCCCCAGGAAGGATCAAAGGTGTGTGTGGGGGGAAATATCAGGCAGCAGATCCAGTCTCTCCCCCACAGTGCAGAACTGGTGCGTGCATAATAGCAGCTGTAATACAGAGAGGAAGAGGGAGCCTTGTTTATCAGCCTGTAAAGGAAACGTTATAAAGCCTTTGTCTTGGAAGTAAGCATCTCATCCTTGCTGCTGCCACTGCTCCAATGTGCTGCTGCTGGTGACATTAATGTTTTAGGCTGGTTGTGGGTTTTTTTGGTTTCTCCAGGCATGTCTTGATATAGCTGAAAAGGAACTGTTGTTTTAATACATTTCCAGCGGATGTCTTTGACTTTAAAGATCGCATTTGATGTTTGAGACGTCTTTGTGTGTATGTATGTGTGAAATTCACATGATCTCAGTTTGAAGGAGGAAGAACTGGAAGAAAGGAGCAGTTGTATTGGTTTTTCTTCTTGCTGGGTCATCCCTCCTGGATGATAGTGTTGGGGTCTTTTGAACACATTGTCAAGTACACACTCGACCAGGGGCTTGATTCATTTTTTGTGGTTTTGTTTTTGCCGTGATCAGAGTGCAGAAATAACCACTCTTCTCCAGCTTTGCTGGTTTGCAGCAGAAATATGCTCTTGAAGGAGTACCGGATCTGTATGCCTTTGACAGTTGAAGAGGTAGGTGCATTCACTAATAATGCTTATAGTGCATTAACTTATTTGTCCTCCCCCTTCCCCCCCCGAATGATGGCTCAAAGGGAGGTTAGAAAAACATTAGTTATTTTGTGTTTATTTTACTGTCATTTTTCTTTGTACAATGAACTCTTTCCTGTTGTGATTGGTGTAGCGAAGCATATTTCCATTGCAAAATAAGGAAATCTTATGTAAGTGAAAGTAAGTGTAGTGAATTCACTGTCATCGAGGTATTAGCTGTAAAAATTTAGAAATCAAACTTTTTGACAGGGTTGATGTGTGTTGAGATCTAGAATCTGATAAAGCATTTGTCCAATAAACCCAACTTCTAAATACATGAAAACCTTCCTTCTTTAGACTTAAAAATCTCCCTTACATCATTGTTAATAAAAATGGCCTTAAACTTCACGATTGTAGTGTGTAGATCTCTGATAAAATTATTAATCAATACGCTTTTAGTATTGAAAAAGGTATTTTAAAGTCACATTGCTTTCTATCAATCAGACTGAAACTCTCTGGCTCGTGGACATTGTGTTTTTTATTTGCCTGCAAAATATCATGCACATTTATGGCAAGGTATACATATCAAAATATGTGTATGTAATAGATTTTTTATACATACATATATAGATATATAGTGAGTGTGTGTTTGTAAGTGTAAGAAATAGCTAGACAGCTAGAGGTCTGCTAATGCATACATATGTGAGTATATTGGTGATGGAGCTTTGTGTTGCACAATGCCACACACAAATAAAAGTATTAGATGCTGCTTTATTAGTTCTTTATGTTGCTGAGGTGGACACTAAAAGAAGAGAGGAGATACTGTTTTGAAAGTCTGACAGATATCAATCCCTTGTCTAACAGCCCCAGACATTTGACGATGCCTCTTCAGGTCAGTCAAAATCTGAATGTGCATAACATATTTCTTTTGCAAACAACCACACTCAGAAAAGTTTCTTTTTTCTACTTTTGCTTTCGTCAGTGTGGCAGACCATTTGGTTTCTAAGACTTTTCTGGGCCACAGGAGGGCGCTTTGAATACATTTCTTTTCCTGCAGGCTTTCATTCCTCCATCCCCCTCTCTCCTTGGTGCAGAAATGTATATAAAGGCAATGGGAATACTAATATTATAGTGATTTTATTGCAGTGAATTTGTATCACATAGTTTAAATGTAGCACTGCATTGTCCTTACATTTCTGGAAATCTACTAGACTTCAATGATGTGTAATGTTTGTGCTTTTGGTATTTATGCAGTAAAATGTACAGACAATAGCACATTTGTAGCTAGTCCTGCATTTCTTGCACTCTACAAACTCCCACGGCAGTCAAAGAGAGCTTGGGGTAGTCTAGGAATGTAGGATTTAGCCCTTAAAGATAATACCTCTTTGGTATCGGAATGCAATATTTGATTATTAAATATTATTACATACAAAGCGTTCCCAAAAGGTATTGTAAGCATTCCATGTTAAAATATAAAAGATGGTCACAAAATACATTTACTTTACAGATCAAAGTGTCCATTATGTTATTTGTTTAAATGATTACTTTCAGATTAATATTTTGCTATCCATTATGGATAACCTTTTCCCCCCAGCGTATACTACGGTGGAGTCCCTGTTATCATGTCAGTAAGCACACACATCTGTATACAGTCACTTGGGGATACTCCTATAGATCTACAGAATTGGCAAATTAAAGTAATATTTTTAAACTAATGAATTTCAGATTTGGTTTTGTCATAGGGGTCCAGTCCTGCGCCCGTAGAAGTCAATGGCTAAACTGACTTCTGTGGGACCAGGATCATCAGAAAGCCATATGTATATGTTCCAAGGTAATAATTCTCCTGTTCTCACATATTTGTGTCAGCTGCAACAATTGTTTCAAAGAAGAAATTGATAGAATAAGCTGTCATGTTGTACTGTAGCTCTTAACTTGTCCAATCTATTATTTTATTGGAAGAAGCAGTTTGTCAAAGCCAAACTTCTTTGAACTCAAGCTGACCTCAAACTATCACAGTGAATGAATAGCAGTTAGTTATGTGTTCAAAAAGGAAACAAGTTCCTTTTCCTTTTAAAAATTAATGTTACATAGCATTGTAGGCTGGAGAGAAAATCAAAACCCCTGATAAAGTTTGTACAGCACATAGCACAAAGGGCTCCTGGTCCATAACTAAGGCTCCTTGGCACTATGGTAATACAAATAAATAATATAAAAAAATAAGGACGGGTCACATTCTGTACAGGGAGACTCAGGTGAGCAAGATTAGGTTGAAAATCTTTTGTCCTCTATGATATGCACTGAATTATTTAGGATGCTCACTCTTGCTGCAGATTATTCTCTGGTGTTAAGTCATCCATTATTTCATCTGATAACCACAGCTGAGAGATGTCAGTGACAGAGAAGGGAGATGGGTATGATCTATAGTATTTCACTTGTTAATTACACAATGAATTAGAGCAGTGGTTCCCAGACTTGTTCCACAGCTTGTGCAGGGAAAGCCCCTGGCGGGCCGGTTTGTTTACCTGCCTCATCCGCCGGTTCGGCCGATCGCAGCTCCCAGTGGCCGCAGTTCGCTGCTCCAGGCAAATGGGAGCTGCTGGAAGCGACGCGGGCCGAGGGACGTACTGGGCGCCACATTACTGACAGCATGTCTACTTCCAAAGTGATGCATTGTGGATAGGGGCACTCATGAGAGCTAAGAAACATTTTGGAACTAGATTCAGAGAGGTCTAACTACCTCCTGCAAGGTGTTTATTGCCCTCAAATCCTGTGGGATTCAGTGGGAATTGAGGGTGTGCAGCACCTTGTAGGATTAGGATAACTAGTAACTAGTTGAAAAATTCAGCATTTCTTTCTTACACAAGAGCTTGGTTTTCTCTTTTCTATTCTGTAGAGGTTCTTATACCTCTCTCATTACCGTAGTATCTGAGCACCATCCTGTAGCGTATTAAGCAGTGTGACTGACATCTTTCATGTGTTCATTCTCATATCTTCTCTCTAGGAAGTGAAGTGTGTGCAGTAGAGTGTCTTGTTTTGGTAGGGCTTTGTTTTGTTTTGTTTTGTGCCCTTTTCCTTACTAATAATCCTATTGCACTGTTCCTTTCCCCATGTGAAAGTTCTGGCTATGAGCCTATGCACTTTATACATGAAATCATGAAATGCTCTGTCTCCAAAGAGACTTTTCCGTGGCTGTTGTTTTGTTTTGAGGGTTTCTTTTAGTACTGACCTACTAATTATCCATGCATAAAACTCTCTCATAACATGAATGAAAAAGACGACTCCTTCCTTACTCTTCAATGTTGTGTTGGGGTTCCCCTGAGACCTTTTCCACTCAGTTCCCAAGAACTCAGTTCGACTCCAGTCTCCTCACTCAGTTTCCTTTATTTGTCATACAGCAAAGCTACGCTGAGTAGATCAAGCTCAAGCATAGGAGGTGGGTATAAGGCAAACCGCACTTTCAAAGGTATACAGCAAACCTCTTCCTTTATATAGATTTACACATTGCATTGCATTTACTATACCATTGCATTACATGTTTTGAAATTGGCTTGGTTGCTTTGTAGGAACCAATCTTTATACAGCATGCTTTGTCCATGCACTGTCCATGCACAATTTACTCTTTACGTCGTCTTTACATTACCAGCTTATCTTGTCCATTGTAATCTTGTCCATTATAAATGGTTCCCCCTTACTGTAGCTAGTACAGACATTTTGTTTCCAGGCTGCTGATCCATTTACTTTCTAATCCTGTCTCCCGAAAAATAAAGCCTCACCTATGACAATTACTCATGTCAAGCCAGGCCTACATATTGTATTGTGGTGATCTCCGAAAAGTGAATTATTCCATAACCATATGTATGGAAATACCCAGGCACAATAGGTAAATTAAGGGCTGGGTTTTATCCATATTATGTAAGCAATTTAATCCAAATCACTTAGGGTCAGATTTTCAAAAACAGCTTCTACATTTGTGTGCATAATTTTGTATGTACAAATAAATATAATTTGTGTGTGAAAATGGAATTGTGTGTTTAAATCAAGTAGTTAAATGTCTACCTGATTTGTACAGAAGTAAATCTGCACAGACAAATGCAGCAGCTATTTCAATGCTCCTTTGATTATTAGGTCCTGGATATTATTTCAAGGGAAAATGTCATTTAGACTCAAAAATTGATACATCTCAAAATAACAGGGCAGTGCTAATTTCAGGTTTAGACCTTCTGGTATCAGGTGTGCTGGGGCCAACTCCTGTTGTCCTTTAAAAGACAAATCTTCCATTGAAGCGAACAGTACATTCTTACATTCTCACCAAAGTATAGAATGTAAGAGTTAGCCCCTGAAATTTTATTTTGGAGTCTGAGCCACCGACCAAGAATTATACTGTCCCATATCTAGGTCCTTATGAAGAACGTATTCTGGAAGGGCTCTACCATACATAGTAGCTTCCCCATAACTACTCCAGTTAGTCTACTTAGACAGTCAGTTGCGTATTGATGCCATTGAAGATTGATAGCCTGGTTCAAAGCAGTTTGAGATTCATTCTTATGCAAGAAAAAACACACAGTAATGTCAGTGGGAGTTTTTTCTATACATCTGTAGCATTAGTTCCTTAATATTTCTTAGCAATTAAAACATTCCCAAGGATACAATTTAATATTGGTTAATATTGCCATTAACTGAAATATTACCAAGTATATATTTTGCCCTAAGGGCCAGATTATTCCTGGCTTTTGTGCAAGGATACAAGGTAAAGTCCGGGGGAGAAAAGTACATCTTTGCACATTTGCTCTGTATACCACGAAGCTCAATCCTTCCCTGAGCTCTTGCCAGAATACTATGGCTCCATGCTCTCCTCCTCCACCTTTAAGGCTGTCGCTAAATGTCACAGTCAAGTCATTACAGGATATGTCCACACTGCAATTAAACACCTGTGGCTGACCTATGTCAGCTGACACAGACTGGGGCAGTAAAATTGCAGTTTAGAT